TCCTTCGGCGACACTAGGATCCTGTCAGCTGAGGGTGTTCAGCAGGGAGATCCTCTGGGTCCCCTTCTTTTTGCACTCTCTGTTGACCCACTAATTAAAACACTAAAATCCAAATTTGTTGTTGCCTACCTAGACGACATTTCATTAGAGGTGATGTCGAGTCCGTTTTGAACGACCTTAATACTATTATAAATTCAGAAAATAACATAGGTTTAAAACTTAATTTTGAAAAATGCGAGTTGTATATGAACAAACCTATTACACTTAACATTAAATATCCAATTAAAATCCTTGAAAAAAACGAGATTGATTTTCTAGGCTCAATAATTTTTCCTAGTGAAAGCCAAAACATATCCATAGCTAAAAAATTTGAAAATTTTAAACTTATCACCCAATGGCTAAATAACATCAATAAACATGATGCAATGGTCCTTCTATTACAAGCTGCTTTTTTGCCTCGTCTTGTTTATTTTTTGAGAACATCCCCTCTGTTGGATGTTTCGATCCTCAATAGTTTTGACGATCACCTCCGTGACGCATTCCAGTCCATCTTCAACATAAAACTCGATCAAAAAAATTGGTTGCAGGGGACGCTGCCTATATGTGTTGGTGGCCTGGGTTTGGGTTCCGCGGCTGAGCTGGCACCTTCTGCCTTTTTGGCTTCTGCTGCTGCCACGGTGGCCCTCCAGGATCTGATGTTGCCGAGGGATGGGATTTATGTCGATAACTTCAGAATGCAAGTATACGACATGTGGCGCGCCACCAACGGAGATGTGGTTGCGCTCGAAAACCCCTCGCAAAAACATTGGATCGCCCCCTGTCTTAATAGATCAGTTGATCGATGGCTGCAACTGAATGGGTCTACTTTTGACAAGGCTAGAATTATGGCTGTCAAAAGTGAGTTGGGCTCCGCCTGGTTGAGAGCGCTACCCAACACCTCCTGCGGCAATAGATTGGATGACTCCTGTGTTCGCGTGAGCCTTGGTTTGAGACTCGGAGCCCAGATCGTCACAGAATACGAATGCGCATGTGGGGCAAGGGTTGATGAACTTGGATACCATAGCCTTTCTTGTCGTCTGGGTCCTGGAAGACAAGCCAGGCATACGGCTGTCAACGAATACCTGGTACGATGTTTTCAAAAGGCTGGTATCCCGGTTATAAAAGAACCCATGGGTTTGATAGAGGAAGGAGCCTTTAGGCCTGATGGTTACACTATCACCCCATGGGCTCAGGGACGGTCCCTGGCTTGGGACGTTACCTTACCCCACACTATGGCTGACCGATATATCGGCTACACTTCAGTTGAGGCGGGCACTGCTGCCCTTAAAGCGTCCGATTTCAAAAATGAAAAATACGATTCATTAAACAATTTAAGCAAAATATTTCAACCCATTTGCATTGAAACGTTCGGACCAACAGATAAGCACACATCATTATTTATTAACAATTTAACAAGAAAAATAGTTAATATAACGGGTGATCCTAACGAAGGCAATTATTTAAAACAAACTCTTTCACTTTTATTACAAAAATTTAATTCCTTTTGCATTCTTGATGGAGCTGCTAGATACCTGACTGTGTGAGACCAGGGACATAGATAAAAGTTGAACCCGGAAACGATTGCATGCCTAACCATGGCTTGTTCATCATAACGGGTTCATACATACATACATACATTACATACATACATACATACATACATACATACATACATACATACATACATACATACATACATACATACATACATACATACATACATACATACATACATACATACATACATACATACATACATACATACATACATACATACATACATACATACATACATACATACACCCGGGAATGTAGTGATACTGCTACCGGGCGCGTCTCCACCAGCGGATAGGAGAATGCTTGCTGATCTTCAGATCAGAGGGTAGGAACGAAATAAAATAGTTCCCGCGGACAAAACACACCCCAAGTCAAGGCGGGCAGAAACCGTACCGAGGACTGAATGGCGCCAGGGAAATGGCGTCGCAAACGGTTCCCCTGGGGCACCAGGTCCATCCCCAGGTGTATTTAAGAAGCCTTGCTTCAGTAACCAGGGCACTGCTGGAGTTGACACATATTTCCCGTGGTACTCGTGGGACTAAAATGAAGACAACAAAACTTACTGGAAAAAATGGAGACATCATTGATAACAGGGATCACGCTCAACAAGAAGCACTAGACACAAATGCTGAAATGAAGCGAATAAATAACTGGGAACAATTAAGCCAGCTTATTGATGGGCTATTGGATTTTGTTAAACCAAAATCAAATGTTCATAAAGAGATTAAAAGTAGGGCGACTAATATTGCCAATGTCTTTATAAAGTTGAAAGCGTTGGAATTGAGCAGAAAGACGCAAACGATTCAAAATGTATAGCCGAGTGCAATGTTCTTTCCACCAATATCAAGGGTGCGAAACCAAGATGAATCATCAGCAATAGATACAGGAGCTGATGCAGACAGTGAATCGGCTGTTGACGCTAGATCTGTCAAGCGAAAAGACCGAACACCTCCAGAAAGTGGGAGCAAAATAAACAAATGAAGAAAAAAAAAGAACCAATAAACTTTTCTCCTAGTGAGATAGTAGAACAACGTCCTAGCAATGAATGGCAACTAGTGCAAAAAAAGAAAGACAAGCAGAATGAATGCCAAGAACAGCTTCTAAACCAGCCTTTGCTGAAGTCGAAACCAAAAATGCAAAAACATAGACCAGATGCTCTGATCATTTAACCCAAAAATAAAGAAAAATACTCAGAAATATTATGCCGAGTTAAAAAAGAAGTCCCAGATAATCAAGTCTGCTCTACAGTAGATAAGATCCGCAGGACAGCTATTGGTGACCTGTTAATTGTATTAACAAAAAATAATATAGATAGAGGCCAAGGTTTGCGTAAAACTATTACTGACCTCCTTGGAAATGAAGCTACAGTGGTTTGCAAAGGTCCTCAAAAAGACCTGGAGATACGGGACTTAGATGATGTCACTACAAATGACGACATTCTTCTAGCTTTGCAAACAGCAGCTGGAGAAGGTAATGAAATTACGATGAATGCCATTAAATCATTACGTAGAGCATACCGAGGTATGCAGATAGCATCGATAACTCTGGCAGCTCCCATCGCAGAAAAAATAATAGGTGAAAGCGGCAAAATAAAAATTGGCTGGGTCAATTGTAGAATTATGTCAGTAAAGAAGCCAATCAAGTGTTATAAGTGCTGGCATTATGGACATCTGGCAACGCAATGCAAAAGTTTTGTGGATCGATCCAAACTTTGCATCAAATGTGGTAAAGAATGGCACAAAGTTGCAGATTGTAAAAATGAAGCACGATGCGCATTATGTGATGAAAATAGTCTTTCCGAAAATAGTGCTCATGTTACTGGTTCTAGTTCTGGTTCTAGCACTTCAATTGACTAAAGGAAAAAAACTAAAACATGAAGATATTGCAACTAAATTTTAACCATTGTGAGGCTGCGCATGATTTGCTCATGCAGACTGTGCGTGAATTGAAGGTGGACTTAGCAATAATTTTGGAGCCTCATAAACATATAGATACGCAACCGTGGGAAATGGATAGCAGTGGAAAAGCAGTCATCTGGTCCTGTGGCAAACTTCCTTTTCAGAAAGTAATTAAAAACACTAAAACAGGTTTTGCTACAGCAAAAATGGAAAATGTCTACTTCTATAGCTGTTACGCTTCACCCAGTCTTTCATTTGAAGAATTTGTAGACTTTCTTGATCGACTAGCTCAAGATGCAAATCAATACTCCTCCGTTGCTATAGCTGGAGACTTCAATGCTTGGGCGGTAGATTGGGGTAGCAAAGAAACAATTGCAAGAGGGAACGCACTGTTAGAAGCGATGGCTACATTGGATGTAGTTCTGTTGAATAATGGAGATAAACCTACTTTCATTAGAGGAGAAAGAAACTCAGTGGTAGACCTTACTTTTGTTAGTAGTTGCCTTGTTAAAGGAAACTACTCCTGAGAAGTCTTGGATGTTTACACTGCAAGTGACCACTGCGCACTGTTTTGGGAAGTATACGCTGATTCCAACTTTAAAAAATCCCAGATGCGGATAAATGATAATGGATGGAAAGTAAAATTTTTTGTCCCAATTGCTTTTATGGTAGTTTTAGATCGTGAACCAATTGTCGTACAGAATGCTGAAAAGAAAGCAGAAGATTTGATGAGAAGAATTATAAAAGCGTGCGATGCGAGCATGCCTCGCAAACATTATATGAAGAAGCGCTCATTGGTTCATTGGTGGAATGAAAACATTAGCACCTTTCGAAAAGAGTGCCTAAAAGCGAGAAGAACATCACAACACTCATGGAAAAAACCTAATTATGAAGGAACTGAAAGCAGAATACAAGAAAGCTCGTTTAAAACTCAACAAAGCAATTAAAAATAGTAAAAAACAATTTTGGATAAATCTTACCAATGAAGTTGAAAAAGATCCGTGGGGTCGGCCTTACAGAGCTGTCATGTTCCATTTGAAAAAACAGCCAATACCGTCGCCCACTTGCCCCCAGCTCTTGAACAAAATAGTTACTACTTTATTCCCACAATAAAACATCCACTATTATAGAAGAAAACGTTGTGAAATGAATGACATCCCGCCTATCACAAAACGCCAACTCATGGAAGCAAGTGATAGAGTAGGAAATAACAAAGCTCCAGGCTTAGACGGAATTCCAAACATTGTCTTAAAAACAGCCATCAAAAAGGCACCGGAACTGTTTTTGGAGGTGTACAATTCATGTCTTAGAGAAGGAGTATTTCCTACCAGATGGAAGCAGCAGAGACTAGTGCTTATTCCTAAGGGAAAGAAACCTCCGGAAGAGCCATCATCTTATCGACCGCTATGTATGTTAGATACGGCTGGTAAAATATTGGAAAGAATTATTCATCAGAGGATTGAAGAAGCTGTGGATCCGCAGCTTACGGACAATCAATTCGGTTTCCGAAAAGGTCGATAATCGCTTTATGCAGTGAATCTTGTTGTTAATAAAGCCAGAGATGCTATTGCAGGAAAAAGATGGAAAGGAGGAAAAATGAAGTACTGTTTGGTGGCTACTTTGGACATCAAAAATGCATTCAACTCTGTCAACTGGAATTGCATCCTGCGTGCCCTTGATGAGTTAAACGTACCAGGATATTTACAGAAAATGGTAGTAAGCTATTTCTCACAGAGAAAATTAAAATATGATACAAATGCAGGACCAAAAGAATACAAAGTAACGGGAGGGGTACCACAAGGTTCCGTTCTGGGGCCTCTTCTATGGAACGTAATGTACAATAACCAATAACCTACTAAAATTGAAACTGCCGTTGGAAGTCAGTCTCGTGGCTTATGCAGATAATGTAGCTGTGGTTATTGTTGCAAAACATCTGGAAGAAATAGAGCTAGCGTTTAATATCACTTTTGCAAAGATCAGTGAATGGATGTATGCAGTGAACCTGGAGTTAGCAAAACATAAAACTGAAGCAATACTAGTTACCGGAAGGAAACAAGTAGAAACTATTAGGCTGACAGTTGGGGATCACGAAATAATATCCAAACCATTTATTCGGTATTTAGGGATAATGATTGATACTCGACTGAGTTTTAAACAACAGGTAAAACATGTTAGCATTAAAGCAACCAGAGTGGGAACAGCTTTATCACGATTAATGCCTAATGTAGGAGGCCCAAAACAGAATAGAAGAATATTAATGTCATCCGTTGTCACGTCAGTATTGACTTATGGAATATCTATCTGGTCCGATACTCTTAGAATTCGAGATACACAGAAAAAACTTACATCGACGTATCGAAAAAATGCTTTGAAAATTACCAGTGCTTTCGTCACAATTTCCGATGATGCGGTTTGTGTCATCGCTGGGACGTTGCCTATTAAAGAGCTCCCTGAAGAAAGAAAGGTTTTATACCAGCGAAAAAAAACAACGGCACTGAGCACAGAAAAACTCAAAATGGAAGAACGACTACATAGCGTGCAACGATGGCAAATGCAGTGGGACTCATCAACAGCTGGTAGATGGACATATCGACTTATACCACAAATAAGTATCTGGGTGAACCGTAATCATGGTGAGGTAAATTACTAATTGGCACAAATGCTCTGTGGTCATGGATGCTTCTGAGCATATCTTTATCGTTTTGGGCATGATGATTCGTCGAAGTGCCCTTTTTGTCCGGAAATTAATGAAAATGCAGAAAATGTATTTTTTGAATGCCCACGTTTCAATGGGCTTAGCAATAATTTGGAAACTGTTCTCAAACAGAAACTTTGGCCAGAAAACATAGTAAAGGCAATGCTCACATCTAAAATTGCTTGGAATGCGAACGATTCATTTTCGTCTGAGGTTCTCTGAAATCTACGTACGATAGAAAGACAAAGAGTAAACAAAGTTGGAAAATAGAAGCAAACAAAGTTGGAAAATAGAAAAATACATTAAAGGTAGAAATTAATAAAAGGAAAAGCAAATAGCTATGATCCTCTCCCCGTGTAGTAATGCCTAACGGCGGGTCAACGGGGAAACAGGGGCCAGATGTCGAGGAGGTTTTTAGTCGGTATGGGAAATCTAGGCTCCCTGAAATTTTCAATTTTTGCTTGTTGGCGTACGATACTGATTCATTCTTTTCACTTGGCAACAGCATCATTTTTTCATCAGAAGGTGTGCAACAAGGGGGTCCTTTGGGACCGTTGCTTTTTTCTCTGTCAATTGATCCACTGGTAAAGGCATTTCGATCTAAATTTGTTGTCGCATACTTGGATGATATTGCGTTGGGTGGATGTGTAAAGGACCTAATGGATGATGTGGAATTGATCAACAATAATGGTCGTGAATATGGTCTCAAGTTGAATTTTAAAAAATGTGAAATCACTACAAACAAATATTGAAAGAATTGAGATGAATGACCTAGAATTTTTGGGTTCGATAGTTTGTAGAAAAATACGCCATGATAATTGTTGGGCTAAAAAGCTGGAGAATTTTAAACATATTATGTCAATGATGACGGAGATTGGCAAGCATGACGCTCTTGTCCTGTTGACGCAGGCAGCATTCATTCCAAGGCTGTCATACTTTTTACGTACCTCTCCTGGCCCGTCTCAACAAACGTCAGATGAATTCAACAACGAACTGCGCATGGGTTTTCAGACTATATTTAATGTGTTTTTTGATGATAAAGGTTGGAGGCAGGCTATATTGCCGGTAAATATGGGTGGACTGGGTTTGGGTGTCGTGGCCGAGTTGGCACCATCAGCATTTTTGTCATCGGCTGCGGCCACGGCAGCCCTTCAGGAAAAGATCTTACCAATTGATGTAGCACACCAGGATGATTTGAGACTTGAAACATTTCGAAGCTGGTGCACGGTTTACGGGATATAATGGACATAAATGTGTGTTCGCAGAAGAAATGGAATGAACCATCTTTGAATACTTCAAAATCGAAACTGAATGAATTAAATGATTCTCCCTCAGATAAAGCCAGGTTGATGGCCGTTAGAAGTGAATTGGGGTCTGCTTGGCTAAGAGCCATTCCCAGTACAGCTTGTGGTACAAGGCTTGACAATGGTTCTATTATAGTGAGTTTATGCTTGAGGCTTGGGTTTCCGGTGGTGTGAGGTTGCAGATGCTTGTGTGGGGCGGATGTTTCTCAGTTGGGTCACCATGGTTTATCGTGTAGGCTTGGTTCAGGAAGACAAGCAAGACACTCTGCCATGAATGATTATATATGCAGATTGTTCCAGAAAGCAGATATACCCGCCGTTAAAGAACCAGCAGGCCTACTATCTGAAAGCAATTTCAGGCCAGATGGTTACACCCTGGTACCGTGGTCCCAAGGTTGCTGTTTATCATGGGATGTGACGTTCCCTCACACGTTAGCCGAAAGGTACATCAATTACACGGCTATTGAGCAAGGTTCCGCTGCGGTGAAGGCTGCTGATTTCAAGAATACTAAGTATAAAGATCTAAACGACAATACGAGAGTTTTCGTTCCGATCTGTGTGGAGACATTTGGCCCAGTTGATAAACAGACACAATTGTTTTTTGATAACATAGGTACTAAAATAGTTGAAAAATTCGGTGATCCCAATGATAAAATTTATATAAAGCAAAATATATCGTTGTTGCTGCAAAAGTTTAATTCATTTTGTATTTTAGAGAACATTGCTAAGTGCCCTTCTGTGTGAGACCCTGTACACTAATATTATCTGTTGAGCAGGGGCGAAATGATAGTTTTTATGGCTATTGTTTTTAACCAAGGGCTCGCACATACATACATACATACATACGGTTGTGTCTAAATTTTCTCCGTGTTTTTGAATAAATATTGTGTATTTTTTACTGATATACAGTTGAATTTGGATTATTATTATAGAGTAAATTGAGGAGAGTATTTTCGTTTTTTTTATTTTTTCGAAATAATATAATTTAGTATTTTTAATTGAATTTATTAATAATATTTAGTTTAATAGTTGAGTTAGATATTTTTTTTTTGTTAATTTTCTGTTAACACTCCCTCAGTAATTTAATCTGTTGAATTTGTTGTTTGAGCTTTGTTTGCAGACATTTATCGTACAACATTAACATTCGCATTTCACTAACCTACTACAGTACAACTTATATTGTTATTATTATATCACAGAACGTTGTTTATTTTTGGTTTTTCTGCAGTAATGACGAACGAAAATTGTTGTAAATGTGATAATGTTGTTGAGGATGGAATTTGCTGCCCATGCTGCCAAAGTTTCGTACATCCGAAATGTGCTGGTTTCACCAAGGACTCGCTGTCATTATATAAAAAAATGAAAAACTTAAGGTGGTATTGTGACAACTGCCTGGACTATGTCGATGATGTTAAAGGGATTTCCAAGTTGATAAATGATAAACATGTTGCATTAGATATGGAATTGAAGAAGATTTCTGAATCTGGTGACATTTTAAAGAATGACATAGAGCAGTTGAGGATCGCAGTCGATAATAGTAAGGGAAAATTGGATCAGGTTGCTAGTGTTGATTCATTGAAAAGTGAAATTAATGCTAAGTGGTCTGAGGTTGTTAAAAAAAATTGTGATGCTGTATGTAGTGAAGTTAGATCGATACAAAAAACACTTAATGTTGTAAATGAAAATAAAGAACGTGAAAACAATATCATCATTTTTAACCTTGCTGAAAGTGAAAATAGTGTGAAAGATAAAGAAATTGTGATGAAAATCTTTCAATCGCTGACTGAGGAGTCAATTAAAAGCAGCGACGTTGTTAAAGTTTTTAGACAGGGCAAAAAAGATGAGCAAATTACCTCTCCACGCCCGATAATTGTTAAATTTAACAACACGTCATCAAAGGTACTTGTGATGAATAAACTGTTTAAAATTAAATTGCTTGACGATAAATTGAAAAGTATTAGAATAAGTCATGATATGACCCGTGAACAACGAACTGATTATCGTAAACTGATTGATGAGGCTAAAAGTAGAGAGGCTGATGATGGGGAAGATTTTTTATACCGCGTCAGGGGTCCGGTGGGTCGCTGGAAGATTGTGAGGTTTCTCAAAAAAGGAAGATAAAAACTCTGTGTTTTGGTTTGCTTAACATAAGATCAATGTCAAAGTTTAATTTTGTCTATGAACTATTGGATGATAGTTTGGACATTTTTGTATTAAATGAAACTTGGCATGGTTCATCTAATAATGTTTGTCTTAAACTTGCTATGCCACCTGGTTTTACATACGTTGATTTTTTGCGACCTTCAGATCCCCTGCATGGTGGAGTTATTGTATATTTCAGAGATTATTTTAGGTTTAAAAGAATTGATCTGCCACAATTGAAGACATTTGAAGCAGTAGCTATTAAGTTTTTCATCAATCATACTGTAATTATTTTGTTGGCATTATACAGACCAGGATCATCTGCTGTATCAGCATTGTTTTTTCATGAATTGATCTGTGTTCTGGATGAAATATCAATCCTTGCGGATTATTTGCTGCTTTCTGGTAATTTTAATATTCACATGGAAAATTTGAATAGTTCTACAACTGTTAGATTATTGGAAGTATTTAACTCATATCAGGTTACAAATAGAATAAATCAGCCAACTCATAATTTGGGTGGTACGTTAGACTTGGTAGTGTCTTCCGATGATTTTCCTGCTATTGAATGTATTGTTAATCCATGTGATATATACTCAGATCACAGTTTCATCAAATCGGTTTTTCCAGTGATATTGAAGCAGCCTGTTTTTCGCCTAAAATGGGTTCGTTCTTGGGGTCGGATGGATGAAAAATTATTTTCATCATTAGTTTTGGGTTCTCATATCAGTGGTCCATTTGATTACAATGATGCGGGCTTGATGCTGGTGATGTTTACTGAGGAAATGAAGTCTATCATAGATAAGGTAGCTCCACTGCATTTGGTGAAATCGAGACATGTCCCATCAGCGCCATGGTTTGATGATGAATGTAGAAAATTAAAAAGACTTTGCCGTAAATTGGAGAGACAGTATAAAGTTAATAAAACATTATCTAATAGAGATGCTTGGAAAACTGCTCTTATTAATAAAAGTGTTATATTTAATGTTAATAAAAATAACTACTGGAAAAAGTTGGTGGAAAATAATAAAGGTCAACCAAAAAAATTATGGACTATTGTAAACAAATTACTTTGTAGAGCAACCTCACTAGATTCATCAAAGTCATCATCCTGTCAGCATTGTTCTACTGATTTTGCAGAATATTTCAAAAATAAGATTGGAAAAGTTATAAAAGATACGGATGCATTTTATATGCCATTGCAGTCTTTTCACAAACTTTATGATGGACAATTGTTCAACAATTTCTCGCTTTGTTCAAGTGATGATATCAAAAAGATCGTTTTGGAATCACCAACAAAATCATGTCTGTTGGATTGTTTACCTACCAGATTGATGAAGGCACACTTAGATTTGTTCTTGCCATTTCTAACCTTTTTTATTAATTTAAGCTTAAAAACTGGTGTTTTTCCGTCTGCATGTAAGCATGCTTTGGTTACACCAATATTGAAAAAACAGTCTCTTGATAAAGATGAAATAAATAATTATCGTCCGGTGTCAAACTTAACGTTTATTTCAAAGTTAATTGAACGAGTAGTTGCAATGCAGTTTGTTCGACATTTGAATGAGCATAATTTACTACCATCATTGCAATCTAGTTATCGGAGATTTCATTCAACAGAGACAGCACTTATTGATGTCACATCTTCATTGTTTGAATCGATGGAATCACATGATGTATCACTTCTTGCTCTGCTTGATATGAGCGCAGCATTTGATTGTGTTGATCACAAATTGCTGGTTCATAAACTTAAACGCTGTGGTATCACCGGGACTACCTTCAAATGGTTTGAGTCTTATTTAATTGGTAGGACTCAGCAGATTAATTTTAACAATGAATTGTCTACAACTGAAACTATAAGATTTGGTGTGCCACAAGGATCTGTCCTTGGCCCCATTTTGTTTCTGGTTTACACAGCTGATGTTTTCAACATAATCAAGAATCATAATTTTAAGTGCCATGGTTATGCAGATGACATTCAGATTATTGCTACTAGTCATGTTACATCGTTTCCAGTCATGATTGATAAATTAGCACTATGCCTTGGTGAAGTTGATCATTGGATGAAAACGCATCGCCTTAAATTAAATACCTGTAAAACTCAGCTTATGAAGGTTGGAACGTGGCAGCAATTGTCAAAATTACAAATTAGATCAATTAATATTTGTGGTGATTCAATCGATTTTTGTGCATCTGTGCGCAATCTGGGAGTAGTTTTTGATAGTAGTCTATTGATGAAGGACCATGTTAAATCACTTACAAGTGAATGCTATCATCATATGCGTGGATTTAGAATTATCCGGAAGTCGTTAAGTAGACACATATTACAAAGTCTGGTGCATGCATTCGTACATTCAAGGCTGGATTACTGTAATGTTTTGCTCTACGGCGCTGCAAATAATGTGATTAGTCAGCTGCAGTCAATACAAAATCGAGCAGCAAAGATTGTAACAGGTGCATCAAAGTTTGAACATGTGACCCCAATTTTGAGTGAATTGCATTGGTTAACTGTTGAAAAAAGAATTGTTTTCAGAATTGCTGTGATGGTTTATAAATGCAGAAATGGCCTGGCTCCCAAATACCTTCAAGATAAAGTTGTTCAGAGGGATATTCCTATGCATCGACTTCGACTGCGTTCAGATTGTTCAGATTTGTTAAAAGTTCCTTTTGCTAAATTGAAGATTGGATCACGTAATTTTTCTATTGTTGGACCGACGATCTGGAATAGTCTGCCGCAGTACTTACGTGATCCGGGTGTCTCCCTTGGAAAGTTTCGAAAAGAATTGAAAGCTTATTTATTTTCTCTGAGCAAATGATACTTTTAGTTAATGGCGTTTTTGAGAAGATTGAAAAAGCGCCTATTAAACATTCATAATAATAATAATACATACATACATACATACATACATACATACATACATACATACATACATACATACATACATACATACATACATACATACATACATACATACATACATACATACATACATACATACATACATACATACATACATACATACATACATACATACATACATACATACATACATACATACATACATATATACATACATCATGAAAGCTTGATAATTTTTTTCCGTAATTGTCATAAATAAAAAAATTTATCTGCTTCTGTTATTATCATTTGAGACTCTATGTATTGTTTTGACAATAAATGCAAAAAATATCTCTTTTTACTCTGTATCGCCTGGTTGGCAGTCAGTATCATTTTTTTTTTATATTTGTTCCAGGAATTTTTGTAAACTTTGGACTATGTAGCAACATTAACTAATCCTACTAAGTGTTCATGTTAGAACATCAGATGATCAACATACTATTCCTCTTAATGATTTATTTGACTTGTTCGTTATGCATAATATTATTAGAGAATCTACTCATGTTTTGGGAGGATCACTTGATCATATGATTTTTAGCCAGAAAATGTCAATTCTCTGTGTGTGCGAAGTGCTTTTATTATATCTGTTCAATTCTTAGATGGTGGTGGTTCTTACCATATATTATACTGGTATTTAATATTGTTTACTAATATCTCATCTAAAAATTGAAGCAATCTTTAAACCGCAAATTAACATGCAGCAAAGAATAGCAACATCATTACCGACCAGAAGAATTTTATTGAAAAACTTTACAAGCAAAGTGAATGAACAGAACAAAGATATAATAAATGAACAAGACCAAGATAAAATAAACAGACCGAACAAAGCAGAATAAAAGAGATAAAGAGCTCTTTGAGCACATTGAGAATTTTAAAACCTTGAAATATACCTACATTTATAAGCGCTTATGATGAGTAAATCGTTGAACATCGTTGCATATTGTTGCGAGTTTCTTTAGATATAAGAAACAACAAGTAAGAATGTTTATAACGCATTTATTTGCGTAATACAAAATAAATGAAAACGTGTTTGGCAATGCAATTAGACAAAGAGAAGTTCGATCGTAAAATGTCGCAAGAAGAAGGGCTGTTGTCTCTGTGTTGAAGC